CCAGTGTAGACAGGAGGAAACTCTGCTCTGTGTCCACATGGATCCAGTGTAGACAGAGGACCCTCTGCTCCGTGTCCACATGGATCCAGTGTAGACAGAGGACCCTCTGCTCATGTCCACATGGATCCAGTGTAGATAGAAGGACCCTCTGCTCCGTGTCCACATGGATCCAGTGTATACAGGAGGAAACTCTGCTCCACGTCCACCTGGATCCAGTGTAGACAGGAGGACCCTCTGCCCCACGTCCACCTGGACCCAGTGTAGACAGGAGGACCCTCTGCTCCATGCCCACCAGGACCCAGTGTAGACAGGAGGACCCTCTGCCCCACGTCCCCCTGGACCCAGTATAGACAGAAGGACCCTCTGCCCCACGTCCACCTGGACTCAGTGTAGACAGGAGGAAACTCTGCTACGTGTCCACCAGGACCCATTGTAGACAGAAGGACCCTCTGCTCCACGTCCACCTGGATCCAGTGTAGACAGGAGGATTTGTCACCAGCTGCGGTTCCTGAGGGGGCACGATCGGAGAGCCCTCTCCCTCTCTATTAGGTCGACTCCCGGATCAGGGTGGACCGATGAACCCCAGCCCTCACCTCTCCGTGACGGTGTGCTCACCCCTGACTGCACTCCAGGGCAGAATGGGTAAAACTTGTGAAAAACCTTCTAAATGGAGAAAAGTAAACCTTCTATTCTTTTCTTTCTAGAGCGGTACCCGACACAGCGAATATCAACCGGTGAGTTAAAACTCTGCCCCCAGATATCACCCCGTAGGGGAACCATGCGTTAGTCAAAGGGACACACCCAGAGTGGAAACTTGGCCCGGTGGTGGCCAGGATGGCGATGGGCTTAAATCAGAGGATGGAGGCTCCCTAGGGTAGCATCCAGTCAGTGAGGCAGGGGCTCTCCCAGTGGTCCAATCTGCTGGGGTCTAGTCTTGAGCCCTTGTCACATCCCATTTGTTGAATTAGTTACATTCATTACATCCGATTGACTCTCACACCCTATTCCTCCTCCATCCATGTTGACCAAGAAAATATTCCTTTGAGTATTAAGATGATTCCTTCCTTCAAAACACGTCTAGAGGTAGATCATCAACCTACTTTCTGATGGTATTTTCCAAGTCTCACCACCGCTCTGACCTCGGTATCCTCTTCTGTCCAATGAGGAACTTGCCCTCAGTGGTCTTTAGGTCCCTTGCAAACCCATCTATGGGTCTGCTCATATCAGTTGTAGCTGGTGAATAATTTTTGTGTCTATATTTACGATCCTGGGAGACCCGGGAGTGGTTATTTGGTGAGTGGATCGATGAGTTGTCGTAGTTTTTCACTTAAGCATCCCTCCGAAGTCTTCAGGATGTAAACACATATGTTAATTTCATAGAGCACGGATTTCTAGACAGCGTTCATATTCTGCCCCACGAGGAAATGGTTTGGCTTGGGTAGCAGAACCCCCCTTTGCATTCCACAACTTTCACAGGTCGATGGGGGGAGTGCCGTGTCTTTGAATCTTTCATCCATTTCAGTCGTGAAATTTAAAAGACGCCCCCACTCCCTCTTTTCTCCACACAGGCGACGGCTAGCTAACTTTCTGTTTTCTCCAAAGATCGAGGTGCCGGGCGATTCAGAAAATAAATACAACTTTCCGAGTCCGGAGCCCAGAGCCAGGCATACCGTGAAGATACGAACCGCGGATGCGAGGGACCCCCAGTGGAGCGCCTGGAGCCAGCCCGTCGAGTTCGGTACGTTCCCCAAGAGCGTCGCCCGGGATGGGGCGTCTCCCAGGATCTATCTCTGAGCCGCTCCAGGAGGCCCGGAAACTGAGGGGGTCCTGAAACCTTGTTCCCCTGGTGCTCAGCCAAGCTCACGAGCTACACTTTTTCAATACCCAAAGGAGGGGACAGACACTACCGACGTCCCAAGTCCCCACCCCCCCCCAGGAAACCATCAGTCACTCAAGTCACAGCAGAGGGTCGCACTCTTGGTCGCTGGTCAGGATACAGCTGACATCAAAACTGGGGCTGTTTCCTCCTAATCGAGAGAGAGAGGTATGCCAGGAACTAAATTACACACAGATTCCTCCCTGCAACTTTTATGAGTCAGCAAGAATTTAATGGTTTGGACCTAAAGGCGGTCTCGTAGTTAAGAGGTCGACATTCCTGGTTCCCAGCCCTCGAACATTTAAAGGGTTTTAGCAAACATCGTTATGCATCGTTGTTTTCCTGATCTGAGATCAATGATTTTCATAACAGTGTAGGGTTTATATGAAATGTGTATTGAGCAATATTTCATAAGATGAAATGGGTAATCAATTTGCAATCTTGGATTTGGTGGCAATAACTAGAGAAAAAACAGGTAGACTGGACTTTATCAAAATTAAAAACTTTTGTGTACCCACAGACCCTCTCAAGACAGTTAAAAAGACAACCCACACAACGGGAGGAAATATTTGCAGATTGTACATCTGATAAGGGCCAAGTATCCGAAATACATAAAGTCCTCTGAGAAATCAACAACAAGAACACCGACAACTCGATTTCTTTTTTTTTTTTTTTTTTTTTTTTGGTGAGGAAGATCACCTCTGAGCTAACATCCATGGGAATCCTCCTTTTTGCTGAGGAAGACTGGCCCTGGACTAACATCTGTGCCCATCTTCCTCCACTTTATATGAGAGGCCACCGCAGCATGGCCTGACAAGCGGTGCGTCGGTGCAGGCCCGGGATCCAAACCTGCGAACCCCAGGTTCGAACCGCTTGTATCGAACCTCTTGCACCACCGGCCCGCCCCCTTGATTTAAGAGTGGATTAAAAAAAAAAAGGAACAGATATTTCCAGGTATACACTTCTAAGCATCCGTGTGGCTCTATTTAGGTTGCCTCATCATCTGGAATAAGCGTTTTTTCCAGTGAACGTATTATTTTTTGTAACAGCGCCCGTTTTATCTGTTCGTATCGAAAAAAACCTCGAAACGGCGGGCACCCAATTTGGTTATGATAATCCTGATAGATTCGGGTTTTTTCATTGGATTTTTTGGTAGGAACAGATAAAATGTCCCCCGTTATAAAAATAATACGTTAATTGTAAAAAGTCCCGATTCCAGATAGTAAGTAAAAAGGAAATCTATGTAATAGGTGGGAGCTGACTTTGTATGCCTGGAAATGTGCATCCTTTTTTTTTGGTCCATTTTTAAGTTGGCTTGTCAGGTTCTAAGAGGACTTGATATATTTCGGCGGTTGGGTCTCAGGAACACGTTTCCTCGAAGCTTTCGGGAGGGGTCCCTTGCTCTAGACGTCCCTCCCGCTCTGGACATTTCTCCTGAGCGGTGGACTAGCGAGGTGATGAGCCGGCCGGGTGTGGACGACTCACCCAGGGTCCCTGGTGTGTCCGTCTCTCTCCCCAGGCTCTGAGGAACTGGAAGCCAGCGTTGCGCACGTGTACGTGCTGGTGGTCCTGGGGACCCTGGTCTGCGCCCTGATCCTTGTCTACCTGTTTAAAAGGTAACCCCGGGAATGGGTTGTCCCCAGCTTTGCAGACGGGCAGGATGGACAGAGAGATTGGGAAACCCGCAGTGAGGGGAACGGCAGAGGACCCATTGATGTGTCATCGGCCAGAGGCGGTCGAGCTCGCCGACCCACGGGGGTCTTATCCTGGCCCCCGATGGGCAGCCTCAGACACACGTTCTGAGATGCTTCCCATTCTCCCGGCCGTGCTGGCCGCACCTGCCCGGACCCCACGCGTCTGTCTGGGCGCCGGACGGCTCAGAGCTCAGCCGTGCTCACAGAGGACACGCCTTTGGCCTCTCAGACCTTCCTGTTCCCAAATGCCCCGCTCTCAGCCCGCACTTTGCCCTGGTACATCTTACTGAGCCTTTGGGGTCCAACCAAGCCCACCCCGTTCCCAGGAGCCCAACTCGGGTCCCAGCCTGCGGCCCAGCATTCCCCCTACTTGCTACAATCGATCTCTCCACGGGCCCCTCTGCAGGCACCTCCCGCGTCTTTTCGCTTCTGCGAGCTCAGCACGAGCAGGGTCTCGGGGCCCAGCACACATGCTTTGGAATGAAGAGTGCAAACGTAGAATCATTAAATCTCAGTTGCACGCATAGCGCATGAAATGCATTGCAAGGCACGGGGAGATTTTGCAGCTGGGGTCCATCCTGCAGGACATGGGGACCCTGTGGTCCCCGCCCCGATGCCCCTGGGCGGGTGGGCGTCCTGTGTTCATTTTCTTCCGGAATGACACTCGTGGCTAATTGCGCAGGGATGCGGCGTCCAGACAAGGGGAGAATGCTTCCCTGTGGTTGAATATGGTGGTGTGTGCCATCGTTCCCTGGGGACCCTGGACCTGGGAGAAAAGAGGAACAGGGGCGGCCTCGCCAGCAGGCACAGGAATGGGGACAGAGTGTGTGTCTTACGGAGGAAAGTTATCTTAAAGAACGTTTCTGTTAGTTTCCTGTGGCGGCCGGAACAATGACCACAAACCGGATGGCGAAAAACAACAGAAATTCATGCTCTCACGGTTCTGGAGGCCAGGAGTCTGAGACGAAGGGGTCGCAGGGCCGTGCTCCCTCCGGAGGCTCCAGGGGAGGGTCCTTCCCGCCTCTTCCAGCTTCTGGGGCTCCAGGCATCCCTGGGCTGTTGGGCGCCTCCCTCCCGTCTCTGCCTCCGTCTCCACGTGGCTTCTCCTCTGTGTCTGTGTCTCCTCTTCTGTCTCTGATGAGGACACTGTCATTGGATTTAGGGCCACCCTCCTCCAGGACGCCCTCATCTCCATCCTTCACTCAATCACATCTGCAAAGACCCCATTTCCTAATAAGGTCCTGTTCCCATGTTCCGGGCGTCAGCTCTTGAACATGTCTTTTGGGGTCACCGTTCAGCTCAGCATGAACACCTCCTGGTGATGTCACAGAATTGGAGGTGCTTTCCTCGTGGTCAGAAAGAAAATACACATCCCTGTGAAAATGCATCCAGATGCTCTGCAGAAGCAAAATGTGCTGGTTAAGTAATTGTCCTAAAAATAAGTCACATAGACAGAAATCCGCCAAATCGGAAACCACGCTCTTCAAGGTTGGATGGGAGTAGGAGGGACATCCGCTTTAGGAGCCCCCCGGCTCTTTAACACCAGGGACCCTGGGCTCCCCCAAGCTGCTCGTGAGTGAGCACATCCTCCACTCCCATCCGTCTACTCAAGGGACTGAGAGAAGGTTCTAGAAGGATCCTCATGGGCATCACTCTGTATTCCTAGAGTGTTTCCTATCTTCTCAGTCATCCGAGATTTGAGTTGGTCCCTCTGTGACCCTTAAAGGAAGGTGTTTGGAAGCTACGAGCCCAGATGCCCCTCATGTGACGTGACACAGCGTGCACGTTGGAGCAAGAAGGAAATTTGGCATCGAGGCGTCTTCTTCACGCTTTTCTCGTCTCCCCAGGTTCCTCTGGAGGCACAGTTTCCTCCAGCCCGTTCCAGGGATCAAAGATAAATTGAATGACAACCATCAAACCGACCCCCAGGTACGTACGGGGGGTGGAGGGCTGAGCTGGGATGGAGGGGGGGACAGCGACCCTCGGAGTGTCCCCTAAACTCCCCCGTGTCCCCCTGAGGGGGACCACAGCATCATCACGGGGTGTGGCTGGAATCTCGCTTCCCACTCGGTGGCCTTCTCCTGGGGTCGGGGGTTAGGGTCCTCTCTGTGACCGATGTGCGGGGAAATTCGGGGGAGGACGGATAGAAGGAGGAGGAGGAGAGGAAAGATGGGGAAAGAGACAGACAGGCAGACAGAAGGGGGTCAGACCTGGTCTCGTGGGGTAAGGACTCACACAGGGTGAAGGACAAGGGACGGGGTGACCTCTGCTTCCGAGGCCCCCTTGGCTGCATCCATCACGTCCGACCCTCCCTGGGAAAAGGACGAGCCGTCTCCCGCTCCATTGGCTTCCAGGCTCCATCCTGCCCCAGGACCTTTGCATCTGCCATACCCTGTGCTCGATAGGCACCACAAGCCCTCCCCACAGGCGGTCCTGCTCATCCTTCAGCTGCAGACTCGCACACATAGATCTGTCTCAGATCTGTATCTATCACCCCCACCGCCAGCCGTCCACGGCTCACGGGGCTCCCCAAAACCTGACAGCCCGTCCTTGTTCCCTCAGATCATGTGGGAGAAATTAGCTTCGGGTGCAGGAAAAGCTGACAACGAGGAGATCCTAATGGTAGAAGAAGTCGCAGAAGCCCCAGCGAGCGGGTGAAGGTCGCAGGTGCCTCCACCCCCGGGATGTTCTGGAAGCTGTTCTGCATTTTTAAATTGTTTTCAGCATTCATAAAGCTATTTTTTTTTTACTTTGAAAAAAGTGTGATTTTGCCAAAGAGGTTTGTTTCAGAGGGGTTGTTCCATGCCCTTCAGACCTGACCACGTGATGTGCCTCCTCTTACAAGGACCCTGGTGGTGACATTGGGTTCACTGGGATCACAGGGGATCAACTGTCATCTCAAGACCCTTGACTTAATCACATCAGCAGAGTCCCCTGGCCATGTAAGGTGGCACAGTCACTGGTTCCAAGGAATAAGATGTGGGCATCTCTGGGGGGTCACTATTCCATTAACCACGTGGGGATTAGGACTAGGACATCAGGACGTGGACATCTTTGGGGACATTATTCTGTCTACCACACAGGGATCAGGACGTGGATGTCTTTGGGGGCATTATTCTGTCTACTACACGGGGATTAGGACGTGGACGTCCTTGGGGGCATTATTCTACCACACGGGGATCAGGACATGGACGTCTTTGGGGACATTATTTTGTCTACCACACGGGGAT